CCCCACGGCTTGGATGCCAGCGCCTGGCGCGGGGGGGGGGGACTGTGCAGGAGGTGAGGGGGGCGCCGCATCTCCTCTGCGCCTCTGGCATGTTGACGCCACTGCCAGCATGGAGGACAGGGGGATTGGAGAGGAGGGAGCCCTCCGCCGTCCATCCCGGCTCCTTCTCGGCAGGGCCTTGCTGCCAGGAGTCCGGGCACGGGTGGGTGGGAGGGTGGGGAGGTGGTGGTGTCATCGGGACTGCAGAGTGGGGTCTTCCTGGTGTCCAGGGAGGAGTGGCCCACCAGCCCCACGGCTGGGCAAGGAGGTGGCTGCCCACAGCAGCACCCAGGGCGGGCAGGGGGCATGCCAGGGCACGGTGTCAGAGCCAAGGCAGGCTGGGCTGGGCTGGGCTGCCCCGCCAGGGGGTCTTGAGGAGGCTCAGGGGAGAAGGCGCCATCCTACCCTCCAGCTCCCGCCTGGCTGGAGGATCCCAGCCCCTCTCCTCCCGCCAGTGGGTTGGGGCGGGCTTCCAGCCAAGCCTGGGTGCCCCGAGCCGGTGCACGGCTCCTTCCTCCTCGGGAGTAAGCCCCCATGAAGGAAACACGACGGCTCCTGAGAAAGAGAGGCGCACGGACCAAGGCACCCCTGGGGCGGGCCCGGGACACCCCCTTAGGGCAGCCCAGCCCAGCTGAGCCCGGGCCGAGGTGGAGGCGGGCTGTGAGGCGGAGGCCGGCTCGCTAGTCAGCTCAGACAGGGCGAGGGAGCGGCAGTGAGGTCAGTGGCCAAGGCCGGGGTGCGAGGGGGGGGCAGGGAGGAGCTACTGACCCGGCCCAGCTCGCCGCGCCAGGCTGGGCGGGTGGGAGTGGAGCAGCGTTCCGGCCGCCAGGCAGGAGGGGGCACCGCCTCCTCCCCCCGCCTTCCACGTCCCCAGCGCCGCCGGACTTTGCGGAGCGGCGGCGGGTGTCTGGGACCACTGCAGACACCCAGGAGCGCCTGGACGGCGCAATCTGGGGAAAGGCAGCTGTTGGTTGGGGGTGGCCTCTCAGAGAGAGGTTGGCTCGGAGGCCCCACCCCCCTGGGGGTGGCCTCTCAGAGAGAGGTTGGGGCGGAGGCCCCACCCCCCTGGGGCGCCAACTGCGGCGCCGGAGGGAGGGAAGGGAGGCGGGCGGGCAGGGGAGGCGGAGCTGAGACTTCGGAAGGTGGCGGCTGGCTGGCCCGAGGGGGCGCCGCTTGGCTCCTGCGGCCACCCCTGCCTCTCCTCCCGCGCCCTAAGGGCCAACCCCGCTCTAGGCGAATGCCTAGTTCACCTAGCAGGTGAGCCAGCCCTGCGCGGACTCTAATCTGGGAGAACCGGGTTTGATTCCCCCACTCCTCCACTTGCACCTGGCTGGGTGACCTTGGGCAAGCCATAGCTCTGATAAGAGCTGTTCTTGAAAAAGAGCAGTTTCTGTCAGAGCTCTCTCAGCCCCACCTGCCTCACAGGGTGTCTGTTGTGAGGGGGTGAAGGGAAAGGAGATTGTCAGCCACTCTGAGACTCCTTTGGGTAGTGAAGGGCGGGGTATAAATCCAATCTCCTCCTCCTCCTCCTCCTCCTCTTCTTCAACAGTCCTCGAAAGAGCTCTCTCAGCCCCACCTGCCTCACAGGGTGTCTGTTGTGGGGTGGGGAAAGGAAAAGAGATTGTCAGCCGCTCTGAGACTCCTTTGGGTAGTGAAGATACATCCAATCTCCTCTTCTTCTACTATTCTGCTGGGGTAAGTTTCCCCTCCAAATCCCGTTAGCCAATCACAGGGCCCAAAGGGTGACCTTTGAAATGTAGGCCCTGATAGCTACTCTAGTACAGGCTTCCCTGGTGCCACTAGGCCTCCCTCGAGCCTGTAGGCCGCACCACTGTAGGCCCAGGATCACGACACAGGCACAGACCATTATAGGCCATTCTGTGATCAGCACACAGCAAAGGGTCCGTGTACTACCTATTACGGTGCCTCACAGTCACAGACATTCTCTTTCTCGCCATCTTAACCCCACCGCAGCCCTGTGAAGTAAGTCAGGCTAAGGGTATGCAACCGCTCTAAGGTGTTGCAAGGACGGTTTTTGTCTGCTTTTGTCTGGCTGTTCCTTAAGGTTCCAACTACCAGGACAGGTTCTCAGTGTCACAGTGAAATGGAAAGCATTCCAGAAACCAATTTAGATGGACTGTAAATCCTTTTGCTTTCATTTCAGTCCACTGCCAGTCGATGGTGTTTGGATAGTCCTTTCTTATCATAAATGGAATTACTTACCGCCCGTCCTGAAGTTGGGTCAATGAAATCTGCCCAGTAGGCTTCATCAAACAAAGCATAGCACATTTCCTTGGCACCATTGATAAACTAAATTGAGAGGACACAAATGTTGAAGATTAGATCCTTATATGCTGAATACCCTTGTAAGCTGACCGCATATTTATTTTCTCTGCCTCGAATTACTATAAAACTAAACAGAGCTGTGGTTGAAAAAGCTGAATGACAGTCCTAAAAAGATTAAATTCAATAACCTATATTGAGATAACTCCAGTCACGGGAGTTATAGGGAAAATGCTTTGTTTACGGCCAGAAAGGGATTAGTATAGCTTTGAACAACTAGGAGAATGGAATCGCTGTGATTGCCCATGTGAATTTTAGTGTAATACTTAAGAGTAAATAAATGCAAGCCTTCTGTTGCCATTTTAGGATTGCCCAGTTGATGAAGAAGATCATTTCTTTATCTATCTATTATTTGTATTTCTATCCCGCCCAACATATTGTAATAAATACAGTTAAAGTTTAAAATTAAAAAAAACAATATAAACATTAAAATTGGTAGTTACAGCTTAGAAGCAAAAATTCAGATTGTACCCCGCCCTTCACTACCTGAAGGAGTCTCAGAGCGGCCTACAGTCTCCTTTCCCATCCCCTCCCCACCACAGACACCCTGTGAGGTAGGTGGGGCTGAGAGAGCTCGTTCAAGAACTGCTCCAGACAGAACAGCGCCGAAAGAACTTGTAACTGACCCAAGGTCACACCAGCAACTGCATGTGGAAGAGTGGGGAATCAAACCCGGTTCTCCCAGATTAGAGTCCACACTCCCAACTACTACACCAGACCAACCCTTGTTAGTCTTCCAGTTCCAGTGCCCAATATTTTGGCAGTAAAGCAGAAATTAAGCTCAGTTATCACAGTTTACAATTATAGTTCAAATTTCCCGCCAAATGTTCTCACTAAATTATTTGCAAAACAGACATTACAGATTATAAGAACCACTAAATGTATGATGCTACTCTACAAGGTGCCAGAGTCTAAAAGGAGACACTTGAGTGTGGGAAGCAACTGCACACAGCTTGAACATTGTTTAAAATTCCAGAAGAGCTTCCATTGTCAAAGGGGCAAGCTGCATTTTTTAAACTTAGAACTGGCTCATCTCTTCAATGAAAGAAGTTTGCAAAGAGATAACATCAAAGAAAGCCTTTGCGTCTATAAATGCTTTGGACTGTGGCCAAAGAAATCCGATTTCAACAAAATTCTGGCTTAAGGGAATATAAACTTTTGGCAATGTTGACTCTGACATTAACCCTGTTAGAGATAGGTGACTGGAACATGGATTTATGCCAACCTGAAACCATCTGTTCATTATATGATACCTTTTCCAAATAAAACCAAATTTATTCAGTATGTTATGCTCAGTATACTTCCAAGCCTAGTGCATATTCGTTTCCCCTGCATCGAATTACTGTAGAAGAAGAAGAAGAAGAAGAAATTGGATTTATACCCCGCCCTTCACTTGGAGTCTCAGAGCGGCTTACAAACTCCTTCCCCTTCCCCTCCCCACAACAGGCACCCTGTGAGGTGGGTGGGGCTGAGAGAACTCTGACACACAAACTGCTCTTTCAGGAACAGCTGTGCCAGAGCTTGTGACTGACCCAAGGTCACACCAGCAGGTGCAAGTGGAGGAGTGGGGAATCAAACCCGGTTCTCCCAGATTAGAGTCCGCGCACTTAAATATATATTTAAGAAGCAATACAAGAGTCTCCTGCACAGATCGGGAGATTAATCAAACTGTTCAGAGATAAGGTCACATTTTTGCCTTAATGTAGCAACCCAAAGGGTCAGTTCAGACATCACATGGAACCCGGATTTATTTCAATTTAATCTGCAAGACCCAGGATTCAGCCCCACAGATAACCGGTCATATCGTGGTTTACCTTAACAAATACTGGTTTCACTATATTCCTTTGGTGGCCTGGAAGGCCTTGCTGGAGGAATGGCTGCATTCATACATCATATAAAATTACTGTTAAAGCTAACTGCAGTTAACAAACCAATGCAGATCCTGTTTTATGTGGTGGTTAAGTGCGCAGACTCTAATCTGGGAAAACCGGGTTTGATTCCCCACTCCTCCACTTGCAGCTGCTGGATGACCTTGGGCAAGCCATAGTTCTGTCAGAGCTGTTCTCGAAAAAGAGCAGTTTCTCTCAGAGCTCTCTCAGCCCCACCTCCCTCACAGGGTGTCTGTTGTGGGGAGGGGAAGGGAAAGGAGTTTGTAAGCCCCACTGAAACTTTGAGTGAAGGGCAGGGTATAAATCCATAGTTACTGGAGTAGCCTGCATTCACACAATCACACTAACCATAGTTAGTTCAGTTAAACCATAGTTTTGTATGTTTCCTGAACTGAGCCAAAGTTATTATGTAATCTGAAGTCTTCAGACCAATACACACATTACAATGTCACAACTTTCATTTTCTACTAATGGTCTCAATTTATTCTAATGTAAACATCAGTTCCCATCAAATGTCTATTAATTTATGTATTTTAATCATTAAGTTGCGTGGTATAGTCATGTCCTTCTGTTGATTTGGAGGGGGGGGGAAACCTGACATTTCTCCTTGAAGCACATAACCCAGACATTGTTTCACATAAAGACAACATCAGCATATGAATACCCTAAAGCAAGGACAAACTTACACTCAAATGTGGAACCATTTTTACAAAGATTTTGTTGTAAAACTGCAAGTTGTAATTATCTGTTGATTTCAATTTTATATTAAATCAGTGGTATCCCAGCAATAATTTAGACACCACCGTTGATTGTCTTGACTCTTTTGACCCTGGTTTGTTACCATCTTGCAACATAGAATCATAGAGTTGGAAGGGAACTCCAGAGTAATCTACTCCAACCCCCTGCACAATGCAGGAAATTCACAAATACCTCCCCCCCACACACACACCCAGTGACCTCTGTTCCATGCCCAGAAGATGGCAAAAAAAAAACCCCAGGATCACCGGCCAAACTGGCCTGGAGAAAAATCGCTTCCTGGCACAAAGTGGCGGTCGGCATTTCCCTCGGCATGTAAGAAAGGGCCACGAGAACTAAGCACTGAGGCAACCCTTCCTCCCCTCCCTCTCCTGATCTGCCTCAGTTCACAGAATCCGCATTGCTGTCAAATGGCCATCGAGCCTCTGTTTGAAAACCTCCAGAGAAGGAGAGCCCACCCCCCATTCCACTGAGGAACTGCTCTGTCAGGAAGTTTTTCCTAATGTTTAGCTGAAAACTCTTTTGATTTAATTTCAATCCATTGGTTCTGGTCCAACCTTCTGGGGTAACAGAACACAACTCCGTACCATCCTCTCTATGTACAGTTACTCAAGCTGATGTCAATTAAAACAGCTGGAGGAGCTAGTGCTGCAACACTTACCTTTGCCTGCAGCCAGCTGTTATTATTTCAGACAAAGTAAGTATCTCATGTTAAACCAGTTCTCCTGCACTTATTTCCAAACAGTCACCATGCAAACAAATAGACCTTTCTATTGTGGATGTGCCTTTAGGAACCTTTAGGCCAGAATACTGTGTACAGTTCTGGTCACCACACCTCAAAAAGGATATCATAGCAGTGGAAAAAGTGCAGAAAAGGGCAACGAGAATGATCAAAGGGTTGGAACACTTTCCCAATGAAGAAAGGTTAAAGCGCTTAGGGCTCTTTAGTTTGGAGAAACGACGGCTGAGGGGTGACATGATCGAGGTCTATAAGATTATGCATGGGATAGAGCAGGTAGAGAAAGAGGTACTTTTCTCCCTTTCTCACAATACAAGAACTCCTGGGCACTCCATGAAACTGCTGAGCAGTCGGGTTAGAACGGATAAAAGGAAGTACTTCTTCACCCAAAGAGTGATTAACACATGGAATTCACTGCCACAAGAGAAGGAGCCAGCTACAAGCATGGACGGCTTCAAGAGGGAATTGGATAAACATATGGAGCAGAGGTCCATCAGTGGCTATTAGCCACAAGGTATAGATAGAAACTCTCGGTCTGGGGCAAGGGGTGCTCTGTATTCTTGGTGCTGGGGGGGGGGGCAACAGTGGGAGGGGCTTCTAGTGTCCTGGCCCCACTGCTGGACCTCCTGATGGCACCTGGTATTTTTGGCCACTGTGTGACAGAGTGTTGGACCAGATGGGCCATTGGCCTGATCCAACATTGGCTTCTCTTATGTTCTTATGAAGGCTACATCTTCCATCCCAGCACCCTTACAGTGATTATACTGGAATTGACAGGAAGGTGGACAAGGAAGACAGAAGTGAAATAGGATGTAATTAGACCAGATTACAATGGCCAAGACCAACAGACCACGACTAACACAGAGGCAGCGACACACTCAAATGGAGATTTGCAATGCAATTTTCATGGTGATGCTGAAATACTACACTCCCCCCCCTTCAGATAACCTTAAAAGGCCACATCAAAGCTACTGCAACTGTAAACACTTTCAAAAGCAGTGGAGCTGTCTTAAAGGTAGACTGCCTATAAGTTGCAGCAGACATTTATTAAAAAATCCATCTTGATGAAAAGAAACATAGCAGACCTAGATGAAGACATTGTTTTTAAAAGGTTACAGTTTTGGAAACCAAAATTGCTGTATGCAGAACACCTAGGAGCAGTAACGTTTGCCATGATGCTTTTAATGCACTAATGCTTTTAAAAAACAAACAAATCAGTGACATAAGAAAGGGGTACCTCTAGTGGCAATTCTGCAAACCATCGCTTGGTCAAACTGAGAGGTAAGGTCTGGGACCAATTCGTGATGGCTAAAATTACAGAGAAAATGCACAAGACACAGGTTTCCCAGGCAATCAACTCCAAATTTGAGTCAATTTGGTTCCCAATATTCTCTTATCTCACCTCGCATGATATTTTACCTGCAAACTTACATTATCACAAATGGCTAACGTTATAAGACAGTATTACCAAGGTTTGCCAAGTAGAGACGAGACTCGCATTCTTTACCCCTTTAACCCCATGAAATAATACATTTATGTCTCTTTAGAAGGTCCTTCTGTTAAAAATGTGACGATTTGTAATATTTACTGATTTAGTTTATAACTGTTATTGAATTGCATTCTCACGAAGATGTATCTTTGTTACTGGTGAAAATATGGCTTAATTTACTTTGGATGTAATAATAAAAATGTTAATTAAAAAAAACTGAGAGGTAAGATCTTAGTTGAGGAAATTCAAACTAGATTGAGGAAATAATTCATTTAGTACACTTTATGTAAAACAACTTACATACTCAGACCAAAGCAGAAAAAAAAACATGGGAAAAGTCATGTAGTGCCAAGAGACACTACAATTTTATAAGTGATTATTTTGCCCTACGTGGTCATGACAGGTATTGGTGTGGTTAAGAGCGGCAGACTCTAATATGGAGAACCAGGTTTGATTCCCCACTCCTCCTCCACATGAAGCCAGCTGGGTGACCTTGGGTCTGTCACAGTTCTCTCAGAGCTGTTCTCTCAAGAGCAGTCCGCCAAAGAGCTCTCTCAGCCCCACCTACCTCACAGGGTATCTGTTGTGGGGAGAAGAAGAAGAGAGAAGAGATTGGATTTATACCCCGCCCTTCACTACCCAACGGAGTCTCAGAGCGGCTTACAAACTCCTTTCCCTTCCCCTCCCCACAGCAGACACCCTGTGAGGTAGGTGGGGCTGAGGGAGCTCTGACAGAAACTGCTCTTTTTCAAAGACAGCTCTGGCAGAACTACGGCTTGCCCAAGGTCATCCAGCAGGTGCAAGTGGAGGAGTGGGGAATCCAACCCGGTTCTCCCAGATTAGAGTCCGTGCACTTTAACCACTACACCAAACTGGGAGAGGAAGGGAAGGAGATTGTAAGCCATTCTGAGACTCTGAGTGAAGGGCGGGGTATAAATCCAATTCTTCTTCTTCCCACACTAAATGCTTCCAGTGTTCTCTACACAGGCTCTGTTTGTAAGAGAGGTTGGCTAACACAGTATCTTAGGTCAGACTCTGAACGCCACACCAGTGAGTGTCAGAGTATGTCTTCCTTCTACGAAGTGTCAGAACTGACATGATACAATACATACGTGTACAAAATCCTGCCTCCGAGGGAAATTAAGGGTATTCTGTTATCGTACACACAATGACTTACATTTTTTATGAGAGTCTGTCGCTCACTTTCAGCTTCTTCACTCCAGGAAGTCATATCATTTGTCGTTTTCTGAGTTACTGTTAGTATGGTAAGACGACTGGGAGTCACTCTTGGAAACATGGACGCAAAATCTACAAAGGGGGAAATCAAAGAAATCAAGGGAGTAGCTTCAGACATTGTTATGCTCGTCTCTTCCATCCTTATCTTAAGTACAGTGATTTTTCCAACAGTTACCAACCAGAATTAAGACATACATCTATTCCGGAGTGGACTCTCAGATTGCTGTGCTAAATGTCTTGCTCATGTAGAAAATGACTTTTTCCGTCCACCCAGCGGTTCGAAAGCTTCGTCGAGTAGATAAAATGGGTACCACCCCTTAGAGAGAGTGGGCACACTAAAAACCCCCGGCAATGTTCCCTCGAAGCTGCAGAGCCTTGTGAGCAAAAATGCTACTTTGTGAGCTACTGGCATTAAAGTTGTGAGCCAGCGATTTGACTAATGCCTACATTAGTTTGCTCTGGAGTCATCCTTCCTGAGCAAACACAAAAATGTGTGAGCCAGAGGCTAAAAACCTGTGAGCTAGCTCACACTAACTCAGCTTAGAGGGAACACTGCCCCCCCCCCCCCGTGGGTGTTGTGTTAGCCGATCGGATGGTCTGCACGTAAGATCTGTAAGCCAAGAAAGATCTAAGCAGCGTTGAAAGAAAAAAAGCCTGCAATAGGCCATTCGGCCAGACGGTGGCAGTGGTGCGCTGCAACTGAGACAATGCTGACGCCATCAAGCGACCCGAGGAAAAAGGAATGCTGCTAGAACACGTCTGGACCTTGCAGCTCACTAACTCCGTCTACTACGAAATGTGTGTGATTTAAATGATATATGTTGTCCTCCCTTACCCCCCAGCATTGTTAGTCCCATGTGAAATTCATGAGTAACAGTAAGTCGCTCAGAGCCGGCAGCTCTGCATGGATTGAGCGATCAATAAATGGAAAGATGATGATGATGATGATGATGATTATTATTATTAATGAGAGGCCCCAGGAAATTAATTCAAATGTTATTAAGTAGAGGAGGCCCCTCTGGTGGACCTCCTGATGGCACCTGGTATTTTTGCCCACTGTGTGACAGAGTGTTGGACTAGATGGGCCATTGGCCTGACCCAACATTGGCTTCTCTTATGTTCTTATGAGATTGGATCTATACCCCGCCCTTCACTCGGAGTCTCAGAGCGGTTTACAAACTCCTCTCCCTTCCCCTCCCCACAACAGACACCCTGTGAGGTAAAAGAAGAAGAAGAGGAGATTGGATTTATACCCCGCTCTTCACTACCCAAGGGAGTCTCAGAGCGGTTTACAAACTCCTCTCCCTTCCCCTCCCCACAACAGACACCCCGTGAGGTAGGAGGGGCTGAGGGATCTCTTTCAAGAACTGCCCTACTACTTTTTGCATTCAAAGTTAGTTCATAAAAGTTACAAACCTATGCATATTTACTGAACAGTAGAAAAAGCAATTATGCTTGGATTGGCTAGTGGCAAAAGGAAACCAGGCCGCCAGAGAACACAATGGCTAGACACCATAAAAGTCGCCACCAGCCTGAGCATGGAACGACTCAAAGAAACAGTACAAGATCGGAAAACGTGGAGCGAGAGCTGGCCCACAGAATCGCCAAGAGTCGGACATGACTGAATGCCTAACAACAACAGAACGCCCCAGTGGGGCTTACTTCTCAGTAAACCTATTGAGGATTGTATTGAGAGTCCACTATAAATAATTAAAAGGCTAAAAACATAAGGACAAAATCCCTACCCTTGCGCAATAGTTCCGGGCATCTTTGTATTGCACATTCAACCTTGGCAGCTTCAAAGTATGCTTTCGCATTATTAACTTCTAGTTTATGAGGAATGTCAGTACACTGAAGAGAGAAAAACAGATCACTTCTGGACGCATGCCATGCAAAATAGAACAGGTATAGCAATGGAATTATTTTGGCAGAGAGTTTTCCCCCAGCATCTGCAATTTTAAGGTTCACCAAAATAATGGGCAGCTTCTGGACAGCTGAAGTGCGATTCTATTCCTGTCAAACTGCAGGACGCTACCTAGGAGACAGTGGGACCACTCTTGTCTGCATGAGCACAGGATGCCGTTTCAAATTTGAGGTTGGGGTGAGGAGGGAATGAGGAGATAAATTACACAGCAAGGTTCAAAGGCCTGCTTTTGGACACACTCAAGAGCATTTGTGATTTTTGTTAGGAGGAGGAGGAGATTGGATTTATACCCTGCCCTTCACTACCCAAAGGAGTCTCATAGTGGCTTCCAATCTCCTTTCCCTTCCCCTCCCCACAACAGACACCCTGTGAGGTAGGTGGGGGGCTGAGAGAGCTCTGAGAGAACAGCTCTGAGAGAACTTGTGACTGACCCAAGGTCAGGCCAGCAGCTGCATGTGGAGGAGAGGGGAATCAAAACCCGGTTCTCCCAGATTAGACTCCGCGCTCCTAACCATTACACCAAATGGGCTCAGGGGAGCTCACAATCTCCCTCCCTCCCCCTCCCCACAACAGACACCCTGTCAGGTAGGCGGGGCTGAGAGAGCTCTTCCGAGAACTGCTTGTGAGAGAACAGCTCTGAGAGAACTTGTGACTGAACCAAGGTCACACCAGCAGCTGCAGGTGGAGGAGTGGGGGAATCAAACCCAGTTCTTCCAGATTAGAGTCCACGCTCCTAACCACTACACCACACTAGCTCTCAACCATAACTGCAACAATGCTATCAACATAGGACAAACGGGCACCGATTTTCACACTCTCTTCCTCCTCATCTTCTCTCACAACAGGCAGATACAGATGAGCAGTCAGTGTCTACCAGAACACATTCTCAATTATGTGAAGGCTGACAAGCCTAGCTAATGTCCCGCTTGATTTGTCTGGACACCCCAGAAAGTTCGGACGATCCTCCACACAGTGCAGATTCTATCATTAGATGAATAAATAGAGGGAAATGGGTCTTTCAGCATAGACAGTCTGAAAACATTAGCTGTTGAGGTAGATTTTCCAGGTTGTATGGCCGTGGTCTTAGCGTTGTAGGATCTGACGTTTCACCAGCAACTGTGACTGGCATCCCCAGAGGTATAACACAGAAATATGGAGGACTCTCTGTGTCAAAGTGAGAAGAAAAATGGTAGGCAGGTAATTTATATTCAGACAAGAATAAAAGAACATGAAAGACACTGCAGACTCGGTCAACCTGAACAATCAGCAGTGGCTGAACATAGCCTAACTAAAACAGGACACAGTATTTTGTTCCAAGACACTGAAAGGCTGGACGACACTTCCAATTACCATGTCAGATTACACAATTTCAACAATAAAGAAGAGAGTTTAAAAATAAATAGGGCATGGTTTCCTGTCCTGAAAAACAAAAGGCTCTACATCTGACAACAGCACTACAGATAAGATTAGAATTTCAACAGCCAATCCACATGCAAAAGAACCTCCTCAGGAAAGAATCCATATACAAAATAACCTCTTCAGGTTCTCAAGAAAGCTCCTCCATTAGCATGTTCACAGCCTGGGGAACTCCTACAAGATAATGACTCAGCCCTACCCCACCTTACTGAGTAGAGATAAATTACCTGCCTACCATTTTTCTTCTCACCTTGACATAGAGAGTATTTTCTGTGTTATACCTCTGAAGATGCCAGTCACAGCTACTGGCGAAACGTCAGGTCCTACAAGGCCAAGACCACGGCCATACAGCCCGGAAAATCTACAGCAGCTAATGAACTTCGGCAGTGAAAGCCTTCGACAACATAAAGTCTGAAAACAACTGATTGACAACAACTTGCTACCATACAGAACCTGTAAACGGCTCCAGACCAGCCCTGCTAATAAATAATCAGCCAGGACTGAAGCAAGGGGGGCGATGGTACTGTCTCCCATTCCTCTTAAATAGCATGCCTGCATGCACCACGTTGTGATGTTAGTGCATCACACAACACCACACACTGGCTACTAAAAGTGTCCATTGCACGCTTTTAGTGGCCAGCCTTAGTAATGTGCTGTGCCCAGTGAGCAAGACTTGTGAGACGTGGCACAGGTCCCTTTCTTTACTTTTGAAATGCATTTGGACCTAGGCTTTTTCCATGGGCTAGTTATGAAAACCGAACAGAGGCAAGAAGGATTCAATAGGAAGGCTTAAGGCATCTGTGACGAACCCCTGTTATCTCCCAACTGTCTGGCAGATTTTTCCTACCAAATTTTCAGGTCCCCTTAGTAACTGAGTTGCCCTACAGTAGTGTGTATATATTCTTCATCATAGAAGACCTGACTATCCCACCCTATGTTTAGATATTTAGTTTAGGCTTTTTTCTTAGCTCAGGAACTCTACTGAAAATACAAGAGCCGTCCGGTTTTTTCTTAAAGCCTTGCGTGATGGCACTAGAGGCAAATTAACTTTCAAAAACAGAATAAAGATTTCAATAAACAGGCAGGGAATATGTGTATAAATGGAACAGTCAAGGTTTTGAGATTGCTGAGGTAAAAAACTTTCTCGTATATACAAGAGTTGAATTCTTAGAACATTTAAGAGAGTGCATTTGTAGTTTTGTTTCAAGGCTATTTCTTTCTTTGAGAGGTATTTTGTGTTAGTATATTTCAGCACAACACAGTTCTTATTGATGTTTCTAGATTTCTTCCTTCAGATACTATAGGTTTTCCTTTAGATAATACAGCTTTCACGAACTCCTGCGGTGTCTACATTTCTCCCCTTTATCACAGACAAGGGTTCTCTTCCGAACCCCTTTTACTGGCAGGACGTTATTCTCCTTGTCCCTAAGAAGCAAGGACAAGTTATTCTCCTTGTCCTTTTACTATTTGACTGGTCTGGGAGTTCACTCTGAATACCCAGACCTTCTGCCAAATCCTTCTCCAGTATCCTTTGTCTGTATGAGGTGGTTCTGTAGTTTTTCTGACTGAAAATTTAAGTTCTCCCTCAGGGCAATTTTAATATATTTAGACAATGGAGTCCCTCTTCTTCTGACTATTGCCTCTCAGAAAACACTGACTGCCAAATGTCTCTTCCCTCAGAAGCCAAACCCTCTGGCTACTGATTCAGACTTTAGATTTCGAAAGACCCAACAGCAAAAGACCTCTTTTCCCTTCAGATCAGCTGTTTTATTTTCTCTCAGCTGATGTTGGCCAATCAGAGAGCAAGTAGAGCAGCCAATCATGTAAGCTCTTATCTCCAGGGAAGATTAACTCTTGAACTCCCTGACTCTCTGATACAAGGAACATCTTAAAAAGCCCGCTATCTGTCACAGCATCTAATAAGCCTCAAGATATGAGAAGGCAGGAAAGAGATGAAGTACTTGGTAACTGACATGTATTCAGATAGAACTCAGCCATTTATGTCCTTCCCAAGATAAGAGTCAGATAAGGCCATTGTTACCCTCTTGACCGCTGTAAGCCAAGCCATTCTTAAAGCATGACCCTGTCTACTGAGTACTGGATTATTCACTGAGGCGATTCTATGTTATTCTTGTGTTTCTGTCCTCATGCTTACGAATCAGTGTACATACTGAGTTAATATTTCCAGGGTGTAAGCTTTTAAGAGTCAAAGCTCCCTTGACTCTCAAAAGCTTATACCCTGGAAATCTGGTTGGTCTTTTTGGTGCTACTGGACGCTCTTTCTCTTCTACTACAGACCGACATGGATACCCACCTGAAACTATCTTGCTGGCTTTAAACAAAAATCTCGCTGTCAGGCATTTTGGGGCTTCTGTCTGGAGCTTTGTTTCTGTAGCCCAGGACCTTACCTGGTGAACTACCTAGACCGGGTGAGCTCAGTTCTCAGCAACTGCTTCCAACAGAGGGAACCAGAATGTGCAATATGGAGCAGAGGTCCATCAGTGGCTATTAGCCACAAGGTATAGATAGGGACTCTGGGGCAAGTGATGCTCTGTCTTCTTGATGCTGGGGGGGGGGTCAACAGTGGGAGGGCTTCTAATGTCCTGGCCCCACTGCTGGGACCTCCTGATGGCACCTGGTATTTTTGGCCACTGTGTGAGAGCTCTTTCAAGGACTGAGTGTTGGACTGCATGGGCCTTTGGCCTGATCCAACATTGGCGTCTCTTATGTTCTTATGGACTCTTGGCAGGCAGTAGGAGGCCTGGCTCGATCAGGTAGCCTTGTGCCCTTGCCTATTTCTGCCTCCAGAAGGATTTCAAGATCCATGTCTGGTTCTGCTCATTTGCTGCACTGGCTCTAGAGCGGGACAATGCCTTTCCCGGATCCTGTGTGACCACCCAGGCCCCCCGTGTGACTCTGTCACTGGACCATTACCTGACACTCAGGGAAGTACTGAGCCATCAGACGCTCACGCCTTTCGTACGCCAGAGGCTCCACTAAAATGTCAGGCAACCTTTTGGGGACTGGCGTTGTCCTCTGACATGCCGTGCCACTGAGATGACTGTCGAAACCTATGTTACCCGGCAGCTGGAATCTCTGGTCCTGCAGACCAAAAGGCCCCATTACTTCATCTGGCCACACGGTTCTCGGACCTGTCAAAAAAAGTTATGGTTATGTGAGTATCTCTATTAATAACCCACTCCTTATTTTCAGAAGCAAAACAATGAACGTTTCTGCATATACTGCTGCGAGAAGGAAAGGACAGTAAGTTTCCGGTAACCCAAGACTGTAATTCTAAGCATACTGATTAGGAAGTCAGTCCCACCAGATTTCAGCAGGGCTCGCTCCTGAAGGTATGCTTAGAATCAGGCAATAAGTTCCACAAGATAGAGATCTATTGAAACAGGTATTTGATTCCCCCCCCCTAGATAGCTGGATTTTAGGCATTAACTAATGTGAAATAAATTCTTGGAATTGTCCTTACATATATCAGGAGGTGCAGCAGCAACAGAAGGCTCATCTGAGCCCGAAGATCCTGCTGTGGAAAAAGCCTTGGGAGTTACAACCCTTCTAACCAAAGAACAAAATCCTGGCAGGTACGTCACCAGTCTAGCTCTGTTACAAAGCACCTAAAGGGGACACAAAGAGAATGGAATGTAGCACAGGTTGCAAATCACAGTGATGCCTAAGTACACAGAGCCTCCGTCTATGAAACAAGAAACGGAACCCGATTGTTGCAATGTCTGCCGTCGTTTTCTGTATTATTAGATTAGTTATTTTCTTTGAATGTAGCTAAACTTTCAACATTTCGGTCGGAAAAACTTTGCACGTGATTTTCTATATGGTGAAGTGTCCGAACAATGACAATATTTGTCATATAAGAAAAAAAGCCAGAAGGTAGGCTTACGCTCTGATAAGGAAGAAGAAGACAAAGATGAAGACGAAGAAGAGATTGGATCCATACCCCACCCTTCACTACCCAAGGGAGTCTCAGAGTGGCTTACGAACTCCTTTCCCTTCCCCTCCCCACCACAGACAACCTGTGAGGTAGGTGGGGCTGAGAGAGCTCTGACAGAAACGGCTCTTTTTCAAGAACAGCTGTGCCAGAACTATAGCTTGCCCAAGGTCATCCAGCAGGTGCAAGTGGAAGGATGGGGAATCAAACCCAGTTCTCCCAGATTAGAGACTTAACCACTACACCAAACTGATGAAGATGAAAAGGAGGAGGAGATTGGATTTATACCTCGCCCTTCACTTGGAGTCTCAGAGCGGTTTATAATCTCCTTTCCCTTCCTCTCCCCACAACAGACACACTGTGAGGTAGGTGGGCTGAGAGAGCTCTTTCAAGGACTGATCTTGAGAGAACAGCTCTGAGAGAGCTGTGGCTTGCCCAAGGTCACCCAGCAGCTACATATGGATGAGTGGGGAATCAAGCCCAGTTCCCACAAGTTAGAGTCCGCACTTCTAACCACTACACCAAACTGGCTCTCAGCAAAAGAGGACGTAGATGTGTGTCAATTTTTCCAGTTAGTTCCAATAGTTTATCTTGAGACGTCACATTTCCCACAACAAACCTGGCAGTCCAGTTAGAAACAGCTGACCGCAACACTTGGCCATTACGCCTAGGGGCAGAGAACACAACCCCAGCCTCCTGCGACAGAACTGCACTTATGCTTAAGATTAAAAAATGACAACAAACCCAGAAAATCGTAACCCAGATGAACGAGCATAAAATGGCTTCAGTTTTTCTTCCTGAATCTGAAAACAGCCTGAATCAGTAAGAGCTCAGGTGTGTGGTACCTTCTCTTATATATGACAGCGGCAGCGAGATTATTATATGTGCAAAAGTGGAAGAATTCGACATGACCCACAATAGAGGAATGGTTGGTGAAGATGCTGAAACTGGCTGAGACGGCTAAACGTAGTTCATTCATTAGAGGAAAAACAATAGCTACATTCAGGGCTATTTTTGGGCAGGAACACATAGGAACGGAGTTCCGTCTGGCTTCAGAGTCAGCCACGCCCACTACAGCCAAAACCTCTGCGTGCCTGGCTACAGAGGGAAGGCCTGGAGAGCGACACACACCCCCCCGGAGACTCTGAGGTGGGCGGGTTAGGGTTAGGGTCCAAGGGCCAGCTTGCCTTTAAATGCCTCCCCGTGCCTTCCCCGGCCTTTCCAAGGGCCGGCTTGCCTGGGCTCCCTGCAGTCGTGGGGCGCCCGGGCTAGCCCCCCCTTGAAGGGAAGGCAGGGAAGGCATGGGATGTGGCCTAATATGCTAATGAGCTGTGCTGTCGGGGTGTGGCCTAATAGGCTGAGTTCCTGCTGCTGGGTGTGGCCTATTATGCTAATGAGTTCCTGCTGGGCTTTTTCTAAATGGGCTACATTTTGTAACCACAGAGTAAGAGAAAATTTTCTAATAATGCCTCTATTTGCCACAGAGAAAATTGGAAGCCGTTCCTCTATATCTTTTCTGTATATCCTCTTTTCCTATTTGTTTTCTTTTTCTGTTTTCTTGTTTTTTTTCTTTTTTATTATTTTGTATTAGTTGCTTGTTTTTAAGAAAACTTTTCAATAACGATATAATTTTTTTAAAATGTGTGGTACCTTCTCCATGTGACTTTATTCTGAAGCCTAATGATCATAAATGCCAGCGTTCTTAACTAATGGACTGCTCCTGACACTGTTCAAGAGTTCCAAGAAGAAACAGCCAAAAGGGGGGGGGGGCAACACCTCCCTGAAGTACCATTCCTGGTCAGGAAAAGGCGCAGAGGGGAAGGCAAGATCCTCCCCCCAGTCCCCTCAGCTCAAATTGGGCTCTCATTTGCTTTTAGACAGACAGACCGTGCAGCTTCTGTGTGGCTGCAGAGAAACAGTCAAGTTTGGGGACCCCTTAACAAAAACTGTAACATCTAATTTGGCCCAGATTTCCTGTTGTTGTTGTTCAGCCGCACAGTCGAGTCCCACTCTTTGCGACCCCATGGACCACATCACACCAGGCCCTCCTGTCATGCTTCGGAGTTTGCTCAACTTCATGTTCATTCCATCGACAACACTGTCTAACCATCTCATCCTCTGCCGTCCCCTTCTTCTTTTTCCTTCAATCTTTCCCAGCATCAGGGTCTTCTCCAGTGAATACAATACATTACAATACAAGAACTCCTGGGCACTCAATGAAATTTCTGAGCAGTCAGGTTAGAACAGATAAAAGGAAGTACTTCTTCGCCCAAAGAGTAACACATGGAATTCACTGCCACAGGAGGTGGTGGCAGCTACAAGCACGGACAGCTTCAAGAGGGAATTAGATAAGCATATGGAGCAGAAGTCCATCAGTGGCTATTAGCCACAAGGTATAGATAGGAACTCTCAGTCTGGGGCAAGGGATGCTCTGTATTCTTGGTGCTTGGGGGAGGGACAACAGTGGGAGGGATCTGGCCAATGGCTCGTCCAGTCCAACACTCTGTCACACAGTGGCCAAAAATACCAGGTGCCCTCAGGAGGTCCACCAGTGGGGCCAGGACACTAGAAGCCTTCCCACTGTTGCCCCCTGGTGAACTACCTAGACCTGGTGAGCTCAGTTCTCAGCAACTGCTTCCAACAGAGGGAACCAAAACGTGCAATATGGAGCAGAGGTCCATCAGTGGCTATGAGCCACAAGGTATAGATAGGGACTCTGGGGCCAGTGATGCTCTGTCTTCTTGGTGCTTGGGGGGGGGGGGGGCACGGTGGGGGGGGTTCCTGGCCCCACTGCTGGACCTCCTGAGGGCACCTGGTATTTTTGGCCACTGGGTGACAGAGTGTTGGACTGGACCCAGGTCCATTGGCCATTGGCCTGATCCCTCCCACTGTTGCCCCTTTATATAATGGAGAAAATCTCAGATACTCTGAATCAAAGTCTATCTAGAGGCTGTCACAATGACATTGTATGTATATGGTACCCCATACTAGTACATCTATCTACCAAAGAAACAGTACCTCATGTAATTAATACTCTGTATCTATGGTAATTTTCAAACTGTATAATACCGACAAACTGTACGAAATGTATGAAGCCATTGAGAGCTGACTATGCTCATGCTTACCTTGTAAATCTTTGCTGTTTATAAAAATGAATAAAAATTATCTGTTTAAAAAAGTCAGGTTTTAAAGATAATAAAATGGTTATTACTTACACTGGCCATTTCCATGGGCCTTTTTGTTTGAAGGACGGTTCTCTCCCTGAAACAGAGAGAATCACACAAGCACAACTGGTTACATAACATTTGTACTTCAGTTGCAACTTGTTACGGATCTGAGTTATGCTGAAACATCACATAATGTAAGCACGCATCACAACATGCCCAACTCTTTTCTCTGCCTGAAATGATTACTAGAACCTGCTTGACAAAACACAGAACAATTATTTCCACTTTGCCTTAATTTTAATATAGTGTATGCCGGCACAAGAAGAGAAACAATACAAGGTCACCCAGAAAAACACGGTGGAATGTGCAGATACGGAACTCTTCCTTATTTATTTATTTATTTATTTATTTAATTCTATTTATACCCCGCCCTCCCCGCAAGCGGGACCTTAACCCTAATCTCATAAATAGCTGTACGCAGTAAAGCATCACTGTGTTCTTCTCCCTAAACTTCAATTCAAAACAGTGCACATTTAGTTAAATAAATTCCTAATCTGTACAGGTTATGGGGAAAACTTGCAGAACACCGACACAAATAAATGGTGAAAAGCCCTAGCTGAACTGGAAGCACCAGCACAGAATACACTGGTACTTTTTGCGGTTTTGTGATTTCCATTTCTTCACAGTTACCGAAAGCACAGGTGACCTGTATCCTAAGGCCACTCTTAAACCTGCAATCCTATGCATGGCTCCCTTTGAAGTCAGATCCCATTGTATGAAGTGTAATGTATTTCTGAGCAAGCATGCATTATAGGAGTAGGCTGCAGACGGTAATTTACGTACACGGTTTTAGAGATGAGAAAGCCATCTCAACAGTTTGATATTAAGTCATGTAACCAAAGCCCTCAATTCCTGAGGCCAAAGAAGGCAAGTATTGAAGCCTGAGCAAAAGATTTATGAAAGGGAGGGGGGGGCTGATCCTGATATTCTTAATGAATGCAAATTTTGAGGGTCAGTATAGCAGTTTGAGACCCGAGTGCCACGTGACGGAGTGAGCTCCCGTCTCTGGCCCCAGCTCCTGCCAACCTAGCAGTTCAAAAGCAAGAAATTGCAGGTAGATAAATAGGTACCGCTTTGGTTGGAAGGAAACAGCGTTCCGTGCACCTCAGTGTTTAGTCATGCCAGCCACATGACTACAGAAACATCTTCGGACAGCGCTGGCTCTTCAGCTTGGAAGCTGAGATGAGCACCTCCCCCTAGAGTTGGATTCGACTGGCTTTCGAGCAAGGGAAACCTTTACCTTTACAGCTTGTATATTAGAACTGGGGAGTTTTTTTGTTGTTCAGTCGCACAGTCGAGTCCGACTCTTCGCGACCCCATGGACAATCTCCCGCCAGGCTCTCCTGTCTTCCGCCGTCCTCCGAAGTTGGCTCAATTTCATGTTCGTTGCATCGCTGACACTGTCTAACCATCTCATCCTTTGCCGTCCCCGTCTTCTTTGACCTTCAATCTTTCCCAGCATCAGGGTCTTCTCCAGTGAGTGCTCCCTTCTCATTTGGTGGCCAAAGTATTTGAGCTTCAGTTTCATTATCTGGCCTTCCAGGGAACAGTCAGGGTTGATTTCTTTGAGGATTGACTGATTTGTTCTTCTTGCAGTCCAAGGGACTCTCAAGAGTGTGGTTGTCAAGGACATCGAGGTCTTTCTTGTATAGTTCTTCTGTGTATTCTTGCCATCTTTTCCTAATCTCTTCTGCTTCTGTTAGGTCCCTACCGTTTTTGTCCTTTATCATGGCCAGCTTTGCATGGAACGCTCCCTTGATTTCTGGGGAGACCTGGGTTCAAATTCCCAACGAGCCATGAATGTGACTGTATGATCACACAACAAATTCTCAAAACCTAGCTTACCCCAGCTATTTTGGGAACTAAATGGAATTAAAGGCCCTCCTGGGAATTAAATACGATTAAAGGCCCTCCATGTCACCCTAAACCCCTTGGGGAAACCGTGGGCTATAAATGTGAATAAATCCCAGAGGATTCACTATTTTAACCAGTTTCATCCAAAGTATCAACTCTTGGAATGGCAGTACCAGTAGGCAGAGGGAGGGAAATGTGGAAAACCAGTGGAAAGGCGGAAAAAAATTATTTATTTAGTTCTGGTAGATCCCTACGCCTTTCGCAATTCACTTTTGCCAGAGGATTGTTTCCAAAGTTATTCACTTCCCACTTAACTAAATAAATATTTTCCCCCACCTTGCACCTGTTTTTCTACATTTTTTCCTGCAAATTCTAGGGGTGCCAGCCTCCAGGTGGGACCTGGCGATCCTCTGGAACTACAGCTTATCTCCAGACCACAGAGATCAGTCTCCCAGGAGAAAACAGACGGTTTGGAGTGGGAACCTATGGCATTGTACCCAGTGTTCCTTCTAAGCTGAGTCAGTGTGAGCTAGCTCAGTTTTTTAGCCTCCGGCTCACACAAGTTTGTCTCGGCTCAGGAAGGGATGGCTCCAGAGCAATGCTCCCTCTAAGCTGTGGACTCCCATGATGAGCAAAGATTCTACTTGGTGAGCTACTGGCATTGAAGTTGTGAGCGGGCAATCTGGCTTCTACATAATGTTAGTTTGCTCTGGAGCCCTCCTTCCTGAGCTAACACAAAAATGTGTGAGCCAGGGGCTAAAAAACTGAGCTGGCTCACACTATCTCAGCTTAGAGGGAACACTGCTCCAGAGCAAAGTAATTTATGCAGCAGCCAAATGGCTCGCTCACAACTTTATTGCCAGTAGCTCACAAAGTAGAATTTTTGCTCACAGGACTTCACAGCTTAGAGGGAACATTGGTTGTGAGCAGGCAATCTGGCTTCTACATAACGTTAGTTTGCTCCGGAGGCCTCCTTCCTGAGCTAACACAAAAATGTGTGAGCCAGAGGCTAAAAAACTGTGAGCTGGCTCATACTATCTCAGCTTAGAGGGAACACTGCTCCAGAGCAAAGTAATTTATGCAGCAGCCAAATCGCTCGCTCACAACTTTAATGCCAGTGGCATACAAAGTAGGATTTTTGCTCAAAGGACTCCACAGCTTGGAGGGAACATTGCTTAGCTTCAGTGTTCCCTCTAAGCTGAGTCAGTGTGAGCTAGCTCACAGGTTTTTAGAAATAGGTACTGCTTCAGTGGGAAGGTAACAACGTTCCGTGCGCCTTGGTGTTTAGTCATGCCGGCCACATGACCATGGAAACGTCTTCGGACAGCGCTGGCTTTGAAACGGAGATGAGCACCACAACCCTAGAGCCGGATTTGACTGGCTTTCGAGCAAGGGAACCTTTACCTTTTTACACACATTTTTGCCCCAGCTCAGGAAGGAGGGCTCCAGAGCAAACTGATTTTATGCAGCAGCCAAATCTCTCGCTCACAACTTTATTGCCAGTGGCTCACAAAGTAGGATTTTTGCTCTCGAGACTCCACATCTTAGAGGGAGCCATTGCCCTGGAGCCCTCCTCCCTGAGCGAAGACAAAACTGTGGGAGCCGGAGGCTAAAAAACTGTGAGCTGGCTCACACTAACTCAGCTTAGAGGGAACGCTGGGTACAGTGCCAGAGGTCCCCACTCCGAAGCATCCACAGCTCAGAGGGAACATTGCTTGTACCCCACTGTCTCCCAAACTCCACACACCCCAGGTTTAGGGATGCCATCCTCCAGGTGGGACCTGGAGATCCCCCGGAATTGCAGCGCCACTCCAGACGACACAGATCAGTCCCCCTGGGGGGAAATAATGGATGCTTTGGGGGGGGGGACTCTTATGTGGCACTCTGCCCCCGCCCTCCCCAGACTCTACCCCCCCCCAATCTCCAGGAGTCTCCCGACCTGGAGGTGGCCATGGGGGAACCCCGGCTGGCCACACCCGAAAGCGGTTATGAAGGCGACAGAGCGAGGGGACCCCGCGAGGCAAGACCGTTATCTGTCAGTCACCGTTGGGCGGGGCCAGCCAGCCAGGCCCGCCTACCTCGCTCCTGACGTCAGCCGCGCTCCCTCCCTCCCTCCCCGCGGAACGGCAACGCAGGGAAACCAATCGAAGGCCGATCCTTCCCGGCTCGATCGGGGGAAAGGAACCCTCCCCTGCGACGAGCAGGCCAGACCAACCGATCCCGACGCTTGACGCGCCACCTCCGCGATGGCATGGGGCGACGAGAAACGAGCGCGTCTCCTCGGCGGGGCCAAACTAATCGAGCCAGTTCGTCGTCGATGAGCTGGGATTCCGCGGGAGAGGCAATCGATCCCGGCTTCATGGATGGACCTGCCTGATTTTCTGGATTTATGATTTTTATTTTTATTAACTTTACAAAATTAAAACAGATTATACAGCTGTAAATAACAAAGTTACAATGATATCACACACCGGTTGCTATATACTGTGAGTCAATATTGATATATTATTAAATCTATTCCAGCATTTTACATACAGAATTCCTTGTAACATCATTGGGTGGAAGGAGACAGTAAAAAATATGTCAGATGGATGAACTGAGGCCCTTTCCTTCAACAAAAAATGGGTCTGGCTCCCCACCCCTTTCCTTTTCGATTGTGTGACAATGAGGGCAAAGTGTGACTTTATATGCCAGTATGTCGAGTTGCCAACCTCCAGGTAGGCAAATACAAAAATTGAGGAAAGACATTCAAAAATATATATCACTGTGTACAATAAATATATGCTTATGGTAAAAGGTATATTTTACCCAAACAATACATAGAGAAAAATGTTTCACCCAAACAATACATCGAGTGCAGGTTTACATTCAGACAGCACCTTGTCAGTAACACTATCACTAGTCCATTTTTCTCTATGTATTGTAGAGGAACTAGAGATCAAATTGCCAACATTCGCTGGATTATGGAGAAAGCAAGAGAGTACCAGAAAAACATCTACTTCTGCTTCATTGACTATGCTAAAGCCTTTGACTGTGTGGATCACAACAAACTATCCTGGAGAAAAGGGCTGCTTTGCAGAGTGGACTCTGTTATACCCCGCTAAGGCCCCACCCCAAACCCTGCCCTCTCCCAGATCCACCCCCAAAGTCTCCAGGTATTTTCCAACCCAGACCTGGCAACCCTACCAGTAAGTCTTATCATTTCTGCCCTTCCACAAAGACTACAATCCATGGAAAGTGTGTTCCTACGCCTTCATTGCTTCCATTCCCTGCCTGCTTGTGTTTCCTACAGCGAAGAAGAAGAAGAGTTGGTTGCTAGGGACGCCAGCCTCCAACTGGGCCCTGGGGATCCCCCAAAATTACAGCCTCAAATTACAATACAGAGATCAGTTCCCCTGGAGGAAATGGATGCTTTGGAGGGTGGACTCTGTGGCATTGCACCCCACTGAGGACCCTAAGAGCATAAGAGAAGCCAGTGTTCAAGCAGGCCAATGGTCCATCCAGTCCAACACTCTGTCACACAGTGGCCAAAAATCCCAGGTGCCATCAGGAGGTACAGCAGTAGGGCCAGAACTCCAGAAGCCCCTCCCACCATTGCCCCCACCCAAGCACCAAGAATACAGAGCATCACTTAAGAACATACGAACATGAGAGAAGCCAATGTTGGATCAGGCCAGTGGCCCATCCAGTCCAACACTCTGTGTCACACAGTGGC